AAAAGGTACTTAATAATGCTTAAATTTTGTTTTCAGACGATAAGACATGCTTGGGAGTAAAAAGGAACAAAGGGAAGTAATTGAAGACCAAAGAGTGAAGAATGAAGGACAAAAGCAGTCCTACTCGGCGAGTTCTCGAGCATACTCGGCAAGTACAAGAGAAGATTCCAGAAGATAAGTCAAGACTCCTGATTTGAGACAGATAACCAACACCTACTCAGCGAGTTGGGTCTGCTACTCGCCGAGTACACCCTGTTTTGGGATAATTATAAATACCAACCCATTATCCGATTGGAAAAGACTTTTGGCAAATTTGAGAGCTGAACCTGCGACAAAGAATCCCTGGAGGAGCTAAGGAACCCTAATCTTCAATCCTTGGAAGAATCAAGGCTATTAGGTTAATCATTCCACTTAGCTTTAGGAATTTAAGATGTTTAGCTTAGTTAAATCTGCTATTGAGTTTGTTTTTATCTTGACTATGAACTAAATTCATTTAGTTTCTGTTTGGGAAGACTAATTTGCTCCTATGGTTATAATATACTTTTTGATTGATTATTATTTGGTGATTTTATTAAATTAAGTTTGTTAAAGAACCTTATGCATTGATGACAACTATTTTCTGTTAATTAGAAGGTAATTAAGCTGCATGAACATCTCTTGATTATTAACCTCATATGTATTGTGAACACTTGATCATATGCTTAAGAGTAATGAATATGAAATTAAGATTAATTAGAAAATAGGTAAGTTAATGTGTGAGCTTGTTTGAGGAACCAACAAACAAGAGGTTAATTGAAATATCAACTTGATTAACCAATTACAAATCTTATTTAATCCAAATAATTGAACTAGGGAATTAGTTAATTTAAACAATTGGCCACTTCTTGAATTAATTAACTGTCTAAGGGTTAGGAGTAATGAACATGAACCTAACCACTATAGTTGGTAACCAATAATAATTAGTTTATCATTAAAATAACCATAGGAGTGAATTAGTTGAACCTAAACAGAAACTCTTTAATAAATTTGGTGAATTTGTCATTTGTTTTAATCGTTAGTTAGTTAATTGTTTTGTTTGCTATGTTTAAGTTTCTAATCTTGTAAAACTAGAGAAAAACCCTTTTACTTTTATTATTTGCTTAGTTAAAATTAGTTATTAGATCAATTTCCGTTCCCTGAGTTCGATACCCTGCTTGTCCAACTGTACCACTAAAAGACAGGTTCACTGCCTTTGTGTGATTAACTCATTAATAAAAAGTAGGATTAAAACTAGTTGGTTTTATACACATCACAAACCGACTATTACAAAGTGTTATATATTACACAACTACCCAACATACTATAGTTTTATACATACAGGAATACAAAATACAATATTTTCAAACTATTTAAAATGTTCTATCAGTATATAACTATACTGGATGCTTATCTCCTGCAATTGTTAAACATTGAGAGGGTAAGCGGTGATGCTTAGTGAGTTCAATAATAGATATAATATAACGTTATGCCATACATATACTTCAATATGGCAGAAACAAATTGGAACAAGGAACAATAAAGGCATATGTGAATCATGTGACAACCTTTCAATACCAATCAATGATTTGATTCAATGATATACAATCAATAAGACATAACAATTTCCATACTTGATATACACCAATAAAGCTTCTGCCCAAATGGCATAGAAGACATACACTTTCTAATTATCATTTTGGTAGATTCCAAACTTATAGTCCTATCTAACCATCTGCCAATGCCATAGAATAGAAGTCATTCTCTTACTTAGACATGCTCTACATGGCCAGAGGCTACGTACTAGGACCAATGTGAATCTAAGTCCTTTCACTGATCACATGGTCAAATGTATAACTTTGCTATCATAAATAGCAAAAATAGTAACAATGGAAAAGCACATACCACATATAACACATAACATACAATTGTTCCTATATATCAAAACCCACCGTGATATAACTAGGGGTTAAAACAGTAATTTGGGCAGCACTTTGTTACTATAATTAGCTTTCTTCGATGAAAACCGGTCCCTGCGAGGCTTGAGCTTCAAACCGAAAGGATAAATCTCTCGGGCTCTTTGGGCACTTCGGGGAGTATTTCAAGTGTTAAAAATGATAACGGGGCTTTGGGGGAAGTTGAAATAGTAAAAATATTAAATTAGGGGTGAAAAGTGGAAAATTTCCAACAAAAACTAGGAGGTATTGCATCCTTTATATAGGTGTGAGCCTCTGATCTGAAGTAGGGAGAAGGAGGCATCTGGCTCGGATCTTCGGCCGAAGGAAGGACATGCGGCAGCAACAGCGAGACTCGGATTTGGAGCGAGGGTCGGCGACACGTGTCGGATGGCTATTAGGCCGCGGATTCGGAGCGAGGAGAGGTTGACGCGCGTCGGACACCGGGCGTCTTCGCATGCGAGGTGACGTGGCCGGATAAGGTCCATGCGATTTTTCTCGGTTTTCAAGGATTTCACGACTTTTGAGCCAAAAACTTATGAAATTCATAACTTTCGCATACGACCTCCATTTTTGACGTTATTTATATGCACGTGTAGGTAAAATTATGCTCTACAAGTTTCATTTAGACTTTGTTGGCTAATTTTGACTTTATTTTTAATATTAGTATTTTTAACAGACCGGGATAGGAAAATCTGTTAAAAAATTCGTAACTTCTTCATCCGACGTCCATTTTCGCCAGTCCTTTTACCTTTGTACTACTATTGACGATACCTTCCATTCTCGTTTAGGTTGTGTCAGCTAAATATCGTTCGATCTTTATTTTGATTTTTTAGATGTCTACTGCTATTTCGAAACTTATAAAAATCATAACTTCCTCATACGAAGTCAGATTTGGACGTTATTTTTATGAAAATTCTCGGTTTAACAAATACTACGACTTTCATTTAGACCGTACTCATCGCATCCTCTTTGATTATGTTGAAAACACTCTGAAATCATTTTGAAAACCTTTTTCCTTAGTTTGAGACTAGATTAACATAAGTGTTCCTCCAATTCACTCAAACCAAGCATCTGATACCAACTTGTAACATCCATAAAATCACAAGAAATTTAAACATTTAAAATCAACCCAATTTCATAGATTGTTTACAAATCATAGTTTTCAAAACATTTTCCATACATCAGAGTCTCCCAAAAACAGAAGACAAACTAGAGGATGTGTACGGTCACGCCTTCTTCTTCTCACGGTCATCTAAAGTACCTGAAACGTAACCTAAAACTATAAGACAACGCTTAGTTAGTTCCTCCAAAGTACCACCACATAAACATAATAACAAACATCACGCATACAGAGCCTTCATCCTGAATGGAATGCCGCACCGGCCAAAAGACTATGTGGAACGCTCAACGGACCTTCAGCATGACTAGAATGCCTCATCGGGCCTTTAGCCTATCTGGAACATTCTTTGGGCCTGCAGCTTGACTGGTACACCTCTTAGGCTTGCAGTCTATCCAGGACTCCATGGATCTCTTATCCTTCAATCTACACTGGTCCGCCTCAAACCAACCGCATAACATGTTGACATACATATAATAGATACACATATATATAACCAGTTAACAGACAATCAAACATATCTTACAGATCACTGAGCATAACATCATCCTATATACCAGGATACCGATCTAACATGTCACTTTAGCACGATAACATACTATTACATAACAACATATCTAATCTAATGGGCCGACCTTGGTGCCTTTGACTCGTAAGTACAATGAGGATAACTCGCCTCACCAACTGGACAAAAGCTGATGAGGTCTCGACTCGGAATCTCAGCTCTAATACACACCTATTCAAACCAAATGGCCAATCTCTATCAAAATTCCAAATACCTAAAATACCTTTAAAGTGAAACTTGGTCAAATTCAAAGTCAAACTGGAGTCAATTGAGTCAACCTAGCCGAGTCACCACAGAGTGAGTATACGAGTCGTACTCTCTATGTACGCTGGGCATACTCGCATGTTGTTCAAAACTCTTTTTAAGTGCTTGATGGCTTAAGCACTCACGTCCATTTTTCAGATCCATGGCTAAAATAAGAGTCATAAAGTTTCCAACTTTATGACTTTGCATGTCCATTAAGTGTTGAACTCAACTTCTTAATCCATTAAGACCTTCTAAATGATGCATAGAGCAAAACCAACCACTTGGAATCCATTTTTATGACTCAACACCCTTCCAAGTGTTTGAAAGGACAGATTAAAAGGTCAAGAACATGTTATGTTCATGAGTCATCATTTTGGGACAAAAAAGTAAATTCAAAGAGCAAAGACATATATCTACAAGATGGAGTAGTAAAGATGCAAGCTTTATACCTTCAAGATGTTGCAAACCAAGTATAAATCCGAGATACAAAGTGCCCCCTACTATAAGATCATCTCACCACCTTCTTCTATCTTCAAAACAACTCCAAAACTCTCTTAAAGACTCAAAATTTGCTCTGATTTTCTCTAGCGTTGCTTGAGGGTTGAAATCACACAAGAGGGATGGGTAAGAATAGGATATGATTCCATAAGGTTGCTTAAATTTGAGCCAAAACCCTAAAATTAGGGTTTGTATGCATTCCACGTACGCCCTGTGTACTAAGGCACACCTTAGTACGCTTAACATACACACATATGCACAACATACTCCTCTAATCCCAAATTTTTCCAAATTGCCACTATGGACCCTTTTGCACTCTATCATACACTTGGGGACCAAAAATGCAAAATAATAAAATTATAGAGTCGAAACTCGAAGTACCTCATCATGGTACTCTTCCCATTACCAGCAAGAACTAGCTAGGGTCTCCTCTACTTCTACTGCTTTTGTTCCTTCACACTTGACTCCTGATGGGAATACGCTTTCGTCTGGCGATCCATCTAGTATACCTATCCTCGAGCTTCCCCCACCTATCTAATCTGAAGGATTAGAACATGTGGAGGACAACAAAGAATGAATCCTGACTGGTGCAACATCTCACATGTCGAGAAAAAGAGGAATTTTGAGTATTGAAGGTCTTCCTGACATTGTGAAAGGGAAATCTATTGCAGACTCTTGTCTTCGGCATGAGCTTGCAACCAAATTTGTTGCTACACTTCTTCCCTTTAACGAGGAAGTAATAAGTATCATTGATGATGCCACACACCAGTCTGAGGGGATACAAGGGGCATCTAAGCAACCCATTGTTGGTAAAGATTTTTCTTGGACTGTTATGATGTAACCACCTTCGACTCATCAAATCAAGTATCATGTTGCTTCAGAGATGTATGATTATGATGACCCCATTGCTAGCTTTCAAGGAAAAATTCTTGCAACCAACAAAGTCTTTGTTCCTAAGTGGAATCTCAACCATGACTCTCGTATTTCTAATCATGAGGTTGCTGCAGAGTTTTCTCATCATGATTTTCCCAAAGATATTGTTTATAAAATGGAGGCCTTTTCTGATGATCAAACAATTGATATTATGGAGTTTTCTTCTACTTGGATTGCCTTTTGCTCTATTGTTGGATCCCGACATATTCGACACCTTAAGATAATTGTGGTTAAACTTCATGCGAATGAAAAGAGCGCTCAACAACATGTTGCCTCTCTTGAAGTTAAGGTTGATTCTTCTCATCAGCAACGGGATTTACTGGTTGGTGAGAAGATGAATTTTAAGGAGTGTTGCACTAATGTGGAGATAAATCTTGACACTCTTCATAGAAATGAAGCCCTGAGTATTTGAGTGGAGAATATGGAAAGAGAACTTATGGATAAGGAAAAATTGTTGCGTGACCGTGAAGCGGAGTTGTCCCAGCTTGGAGGCGACTTGAATTGGCATGTTAATGTCATGATTGTTAGGATTGTTAAAAAGGTTATTGAGCTTCCTGATTTTATGCAGGGAGTTTTCTGGATAAAGAACATGTGTTTTGTTGCAAGTGAATAGTCTAGGAGGGAGTTGTTGCATATGGAAATTGTTGTTGGGACGTTCGACCCCAATGTTGCTAGTTCTACTTTGAGCCATACTGGGGAGATGGTAAATTCAATTGACTCATTTTCCACGTGTGATTACGACTCCTTGATGAATTTGGGTTCTATGGACGTTAGTGGCCTTCACCTGCTTTGTGCAAATAACGATAACGAAGGGGTAGGTCCTAGAAACAACGCCAAGATCACTAGCTTGGATAGGATTGCTGGTAAATAAAAGATACTTCCCGCTTTTGGGGCTCCGTCCCTATTGTGACACCCTATATAGGCGTGACTCATTTCTATACTTCTTTTGTTGGCCATATGTGGCCTTAGTATGTCGAGTACCGGCTTGTAGTTAGACAACTACTTTTATTTTTCCTTCTTTTGCTATGTGTGCAAATACATGTTCTTGTTTAAATTACTAACTTCTTTTGATCTGAACCTGTTAAATTCTTAATATGGTTGTTTCTTTTCCCTTTCCCACTTCTTATATTTTCGGAAGGAAAATTATGATTGACTTATGTTGTTTATGTGACTTTCTTGATCCTCGGTACCAAGTCTAGGTGTTCCTTAATTATCTATTTTCATATAGAATCAGGTACTTGGACTATATAACTCTTTCTGGTAAAGGTTATAATCATTTAAACCGAGATGAGGAATGGCTAGACTACCTACTGCAATATAGAGTTGAGTTTTTGAACCATGCAACTCCTTTTGGTAAAGGTAATAATCCTTTTAACCAAGACGGGGCAGGGTTAGGCTTCATGTTGTTATGTAGAACTGGGTGTTTGAACCATGAAACTCTTTTTGGTAAAGGTTATAGTCCTTTGAACCAAGACAAAAATGACATGGAAGAATTGTAAAGTAAACAAAAGGAACAACTACCAAGCGTGATCAACCTTATGCATATTTTGATTCAAAACAACACTTACCTTATTACAAAGAAAAGACAGTATTGTTGATTCTTTGTGTCTTCTAATCTTTTCTCATCTCCTTCCATCTTTCTCTTATTTTATTTTTACATAAAGAACTTTCTTAGATGTTGAATATGCCAAGTGCATGGGATTGCTCGTCCCTCCATTGTCTCCAACTCATAGGAACCATTGCGGTGTGCAGTGGTTATCCTGTATGGACCTTCCTATGTTGGGACTCACTTTCCTCTCGGGTCGCAATGACTGACCTCATTTGCTCTTAGAACCAAATCTCCAAATTTCATGTCCCATCGTTGTATGTGTTTGTTGTAGTAACTTTCCACATGTGATCTCCTCAATCTAATTCCCTCTGGATTTCCCCAATCGCTTCATATTTCAATTTACCAGTGTTCTGTTGGACACTTCTGTCTTCCCATTTGCATGTGGATGAGTTACCGAATTAAAGCACTGTTCTATGTGCCTGTCCTAACACCGTCCTTGAAATGGGTTTTCAGTAAATTGTAACCTATTATCGCTGATCATAATCTTTGGGGTTCCAAAACATGTCAAGATATTTTTCCATATAAATGTGATCATAGTTGAACCTGTAATACTTGTTATAGGATCCGCCTCTATCCACTTGGTAAAAATAGTCAACAACAACCACCAAGACTTCGATTCTTCCTAGAGCCTTTAGAAAAAGGCCCCGCTATGTCAATTCCCTACTGGTGGAATGACCAAGGAATGAAAATACTCATAAGTGGTGTGGATGGTAACTGCTGTGTAGGAGAGAAATTTTGACATTCCACATACTTCCTTGTAATTTCCTCTATCTCTTTGTGCATGGTTGGCCAGTAAAACCCATGCACAACACATTACCGGTTTGGGCTCTTGCACCTTTATGTGCTCCCGCTTCTCCATCGTGTGCTTCCTTTATGATGCCACTTCCTTCTAGTTTCGTCACACAGTGATTCCACGACATAAAGTATCCTATTTTGTATAGTTTCTCATTTTTCATGAAAAGTTGGTGCGCCTTGATCTTTACCTTGTGTGCTTCGTTTAGGTTGCATGGAAGTAGGTTGTGTTGCAAGTAATCGTACAGAGGAGCCATCCAACCCTTGTCTTATGTTGTGACAACATTAACTTTTGTTTTGTCTATGCTTTGGGAGTTCAACACTTCTACCAATATTTATTTAGACAAGTGGATGTACGTTGTGGCTGCCAATTTGTTAAGTGTGTCCATCTACCTTTTCTTACTTCTATTCATTTGCTCAATTTCTAAATTCTCAAATAATACTACCATCTCATTTATTGTTGCCACGTATTTCTTCATTCTAGCATTCTTTGTATTGTATACTATGTTTATCTCATTCATGACCAACATCGAGTCGGTCATGACCTTCACTTTTACTCCTATTTTGCGTGATAGCATCAACCCAGCCAGTAATGCTTCGTATTCATCTTTGTTGTTTTTGGTATCGAAGTCGAATCACAACACATAGGTTATTTCGTTTCCGTCAGGTTCAGTATGTATGAGACCCGCTCCTGATCCTTCTCTGCTTTCCACCCCATTAGTGTATAATGTCCATATTGAATCACTAGTCAAGGACATAACCTTGCCTTCTTGTTGCGTGGTTGTTACATTGCATTCTTTGTCTGACACTTCTATGCTAAGGCTAACCCTTTTATACTTGTCTTGGGATGGTATTTTTGGATTTGGTGTCTAAGCCCATAACTATAACTGGGATTTACTTGACCCGATTGTAGCATGGTCCTTTTGGGTTACCTTCACTAGTGCAATTTGATAGGATGGACTTTTGAGAATAAGGTTATTTATGATTTATTACTATATTACAAGTATAAAATATTAATATGAAATCATAGTATTTAATTAGTATTGATCAAGAATTAGTTTGGAATTCTTATTGTGGTCAAAAGAGACTAATTAAATATATAAGGATTTATTATGTAAATCAATGATTCTTACAGTGTGGGCTAATGATCCATGATTATTTAGATGGGCTAGACAAACGAAATAATCCATGGATAGTCCATAGAGGTTAAACCCATGGAGCATAAGAATGTAAAAAGTCATGGAGCATTAGGGTTTACAAAATGCAACCCTAGCATATGCAATATTATAAATAGAACCCTCATGAAGCCAAAATTGGTTGCCCCTTCTTTGTGAGCTAAGCAACTTATTCTCTTTAAGCCTCCTTTTGCATATTGGTGTTTATGAACCATTAGAGACATCACACTTGAGGTGCTCAAGCTTGAAAGGCCAAGAACTACAAGTCCTTCATAAAGGTATGTTACCAAACTAGTTGTATCATTCAACTGTTCAAATGTATGTTAGTTAGGACAATGCTTTGAAAGAATTGAAAATGCATCTATAATTAGAGAAAACATAGATCCAAAGCATTTAGGGTTACATGTGCACCATAGGAGTGTTATAGCGCTCAAAACCCAACAGTGGTATTATAGCCTAGGATTGTTTTCCATTATATTTGATGCTCACTAATTTTTCAAAGCTGAAAAAGTCGAATTTCTAGCCACGGACTGATGAACTCGCCGAGTCCATGAACTAACTCAACGAGTCCACTCAGTAAAAGAGAAACTCGACGAGTTCAGTTCATGCACTCTACGAGTTAAGGCTCTGTTGGCAGATTTTCGAGATTTTGGCATGCATTGGATTGGTAACACTACCATAAACTGTTTGGGTTCATTATTTTTTTTCCTGATATGGTAGTGCTAGTACTCATCCAACTACAAGATAATTGTCAAAGTTTTGAGAAAATTGTTGTTTTATGTGATAAACAAAGTTGCTTGTAAATTGTTGACTTGTATTATCTTGTTTATGAGTTTAATTAGATCATCCATGAATTATGCGATAATTTTAGTTGTTAGAAAATTGATGTAAATGAATTTTAATGACCCCCATAACTTGTCCTCAAGTTATGGAAAATGAAAGGTCTCTTCATTAAAATCCAATTAAACTCATAAGTTATGAATGTGAAGAGTTTTGACAAGTTTCAAAACATGCCCTCAAGTTTTGGAATTTGTAAAGTCTCATCAATGAAACTTTAATTCCAAACCCTAGAGTTTTAAAAGTTAAAATTCAACCCTTATACTTTATAATATTATAAGTTTAATATATATACACACACACACACACACACATATATATATATATATATATATATATGTATAACACAAATCAATCTTATTGTTAGTAGGCCTCATTCACGAAGTCAGTCTATAAGGGGAGGGGGTATAAGGTTACTACTTATAAAATGGTGGTTTAATGGGTGTCCTCTCTCACCCACCGCTTCCATGATAGGTGGAGGGTCGTTAGCTGAACGGGTAGGATAGGACATTAATTCTCCCTCGTTAAAAGTATAATGATAAAAATAAAGTAACTAAAATTTCATTAAATTCTCAATCTTAGTTACTTTAGAAAAAATGTGAAATGGTGCCAATCCATGAAATTACACTTTGCACCTTGTTAAGTCGTTAATGGAGCATGTGTGGTTAACCGGCACACTAATCTAAGACTGACAATGTGTGGAAAAGGGTAGCTTGGTGTTATCCATAGATCAATGGAGCACGTGTGGTTAACCGGCACATTGATTAGGTGATTTGTAACATTGGGTGTACCAAGTTAATATGCATGGTTGTTCACAACTTGTTTGTGATCCTCGGCATCCCAGTCACAAACTTGAAGGGCACAATCGAGATTTAAACATGCCATTGAAAAGTTAAATAAATCTCAAAGGATCTAGGAATTTCAATCCAATTAAAACTTAATAATCTATTTCGTTTTTCATGGTGGAAATTGGTACATTTTCATTTACATACCTTCAAATATTTTACAATTGGATTACGGCATCCCTCTTCACAATTGTAGATTATTGTGTTGGGTCCAATCCTTAATATTTCATATTAGGTGTAATATTAAGGATTATCATCTAACCCAAACTTTGTTCTTCTTTTCAGATGCCTATCCCAAACAATGCTTCCACACCAATTCCTTCAGGCTCTTTCTCCCTAATGAATCTATGTGGGAGGGTCATTTTTGATGGTTCAGACTTCAATTATTGGATTCGAAACATCTGAATGGCTATTCGTCATGAGGAAAAAGAATATGTCCTAGACAAAGCGCTAAAGGTGATTGATGTCACCACTGCTACTCCTGAAAAAATTGTTGAACATACTACTCATAAGAAGGATGCGACAAAGGTGTTGTGTCTAATGATTTCTACCATGACTATTGAGCTGCAGAATTCCTATGAGTACTACTATCCCTATGAAATCTATTAGGATTTGATGGAAAGATACCATAAAAGTGCTCGACAGGAGAGGTATGAGTTCATTGCCTCCATGATCACAACCAAAATGAAGGATGGTGAACCCATCATCGCCCACTTGCAAAAGATACAGAGATTTGTAGACCGCTTGCTTAAATTGAATGTGAATTTTGATGAAGGGTTGGCCATATATATAATTCTACACTCTTTACCTTCTTGTTATGATCAGTTTCGTAAGACCTATCATATGAACAAGGAGGAGGTCACTCTTAGCAAGCTTCAAGGCCTTCTAAGGATTGCAGAAAGCAGCGTGAAAGGCAAGTCGGTTGTGTCTACTCCTACTACTACTTCTGCCCCTGTTCTAGCAATCGGACATGGGAAGGGAAAGAAGAGGACGACTCCCTCCAAGAGCCTCAAGGGTAAGTCTCTTGATGGATTCTCTTCTAGTGGGACCAAAGCTGGTTTTGCTAATCCCTCTTCCAATCCGAAGGATGCTGACTGCTTCCATTGCCATGAAAAAGTGCACTAGAAACGAAGCTTCCCCAAGTACTTGCAGGACATAAAGCATGGCAAGATCAAGCCCTCGTTTGAAGGTATTTACACTATTCAATCTAATAACTCATCACATGCTAATTCTTGGGTCCTTGATATAGGTTGTGGATTCCACATTTGTTCTGATTTGCAGGGACTTAAAAGAAGTAGGGATGTGGAGCACGGGAAGATAAACTTAATCATGGGAAATAGGAAAGTGTCGCATGTAACCAAGATTGGAGTTTATTATTTATTTCTTAGTAATGGTTTAGATTTAGATTTGAATAATTGTTGTTACTCGGCCGATATGGAGAGAAATATTATTTCCTTTCACAGTTTGTATAAACAAGGTTTTACCTTTTCTTTTAATAATGAAATTGGTGGTATTAATGCTTATTACAATGGTATATTTTATTTTGAAGCCTTACCTTGCAATGGTATATATATGCAACTGTGATGGTTGTAGATAACTTAGGAAATAATGTGTTACGCGTTGATTCTTCCAATGATTTGGATAAGCCGTGCTTGTGGCATTGTCGTCTTGGACATGTAAACAAAAAGCGCATAGGCCAACTCCAAAAGGATGGAGTTTTGGAGTCATCTGACTTAAATTCGGATGAAACTTGCGACTCTTGTTTACTTGGAAATATGACCAAGTCACCCTTCATTGGTACTTGTGAAAGGGGTGAAGGTCTATTGGATCTCATACACACTGATGTGTGTGGACCATTCAGAACCGCCACAAGGGATGCAAACCGCTTCTATGTGACTTTTACCGATGATTATAGTAGGTATGGTTATATCTACTTAATCAAGCATAAGTTAGAAACCTTTGAAATTTTCAAAGAATTTAAGCAAGAAGTGGAGAATCATTAGGACAGGAAGATAAAGATGTTGCAATCCGATCGTGGAGGAGAGTATCTTAGTATCGAGTTCCTTAACTACCTTAAGGAATGTGGAATTGTTTCACAATTGACGCCACCTTTCTAGACGTGCTTCGTTCCATGATGTGTCGAGCTTCGTTATCTATCTCATTTTGGGGTTATGTCTTAGAGACTGCTGCCCATATCCTTAATCTAGTCCCTACAAAAAAGGTTTCCAAAACACCTCACGAGATGTGGACAAGGAAGGTT